GTGTGTAATCCCAGCTACTTGGGGGGCTGAAGCAGGAGGATCGCTTGAGCCCAGGAGGTCAAGGATGCAGCGAGCTGTGATAGCGCTAATGCACTCCAGCCTGAGTGACAAAGTGACAAAAATAAATAGATAGATAGATAGTACCTAATCTAATTTTCATAACAGCCTTTAATGATTAGCCTTATAGGTTTTGTAATCAATCATCTCTGTTTTAGGGATAAAGAGTCTAAGGCTCAGCATATTTAAAATAGTCTTTCATGCTTTAAATACTAGGTTGGTGCACAAGTGATTGTGGTTTTTGCCGTTTAAAATAATGGTAAAAACCGCAATCACTTGTGCATCAACCTAATGGTTGTTCTAGTTATGCAAAATGGAATTCAGGTGGTTTGACTCTAGATTCTGCTCTCTTGCCACCATATTCTGCTGTTTCTTTGCTCTCAGAAAAGTCTCAGATCCAGCTCCTCTGGCTTCAGTTACATAATGATACCTGTGCTCCAAAAGCAGATGGATTTGCATTGGAACCCTAGGGCTCCTGTCTGCTGTGTGACTTTGAACAAGGCTCCTGACCTTCTCTGCCTTTGATTCCTCATTGGTAAATAGGTACATACTAGCGACATCACAGGTTGGTTATGAAATCACATCACAGGTTTTAAATGAAATAATATAAAGAAAAAGGGAATGAATAAAAGCGTAGCTTAACCTACATAAAGCTCTATATACTTAATTGTTGTTACTCTTATTATTCTATGCCCGTATAAGCCCTCAAGTGTTTTCAATGTGTTTTAAAAGATTTCTAACTGGTCTCCCTAAGACCCAATAAATTCATTGTCTTGATTGTCAGAATTGTATTTTAAAAAGCTAAATCTGATCATGTCACTTCCCTGCCCCAAAGCCTCTAATGTTCTTGTTCTCTATGTGACTGCCTTTTAGGCCATACTGACGTATCGACTTAAAATGGAATCAACTTCTTAAAACTGAAACGACATCTTCTACCTTTCTCGTTCATTTCCTGCTACTCTCCCAGAAGAAGTATAGTCTTCATAAACACCAAACCTATTCTTTCACAGACCTACCAGTCCCTTTGAGGCCGTTGGGCCTCCTTCTGTTTTCTGTTTCAGTACTTGCCCCATTTCATCTAGAAAATTCCTACTTGTCCTTAAGACCTAGGGATGGCTTCCTCTAAGTCAAAATCGAATGCTATGAAGAGTACTTTATTCACAGCATTTGTGACATGGAATTTACAATTACTGAATTGCAATTACTTTCCCCAGGGAACAGTCCATTTGTGAATAAAAATCAATCAATCTGGTGTGGTGTTGTTCAGTGTCTAGTACATTATAGACATTCAATAAATACTGCTAAATGAATAATGTGCATTATTTACAGTTTACAATGTTTTTTTCACATATTTAACTTATTTTCATCATATTATCCTAACATATAAGCATAAGATAGTTTGATACAAGAAGCTATTATTATTAAACTGAGACTTAGATAACATTTCTAGCATTTTCCCCAATTGCAAATCTTTAAAAATACACAAAAAGTCCCACCACTATTTTTCAAAAAAGGCCAAAGCTAGCATAGGGCTCATATTTTAAGAACACAGTCATTATATAGATCATGATAATTACCTGTGGGTATTGGTAAATACATTGCAGCTTGATAATTATACTCCAAGTTCAGATTAGAGTATTTCTTTAGTATGCCATGGAAGTAGCTATTTAAAGAGTCAGGCTAAACCTGGAATGAGAGGAACTCTTTGGAATTCCAGTAGCATTCCAAAGTCTTTGCAGTTTCCATCCATTTATTTTATGTGGCAATAACAATTAATTGTTTAAAATTATTTTTAACTAGTAGATTCTGCCACTTCCCCTAATTCCTTGAAAACAGTTGAGCAAATGTAACAAGATACTTCTTACTCAAAATCTAGGGCAGTGTTTATCAAAATGTGAGTAAGTGCTCATTAGTGACATAGAAAATCAACTGTGTCATCCAAGCAATTTAAAAATGGGATAGAATAGAATAGGAAATACTGGAATGTGCTACATGATGTAGGGGTATGATATTTTGTGAAATCTTCGTTTTGATTACGTGTGTGTTTACTGAATTGTGATAAAATATTTTTCCCACTGTGGCAGATATTTCTCACTAGATTGGGTCAAAAAAGGCTGAAAGCCACTGGCCTACACAACATAGCCATATTGCACAAGGGGTGGAATCAATTCCAAGTAGTCACTTAATAAAATTGGTTTAATTACTTGATAAAATTGTAATCATGTCGCCATTGGGGCCAAAGCTGTAATTACATTATCATAACCCCCAAAACATAATCAACACCTGATTCATTCACCAGACTTAACTCAAATAACATTTATTTCCAAACATTAAATCCATCTCTAAGAGGTATTTACTACCACAAAAACTAGCAGACGAATTTGCCATAGATTATAAAGTCAATACCAAAAAATCACTTTGGGGCTGGGCATAGTGGCTCACACCTGTAATCCCAGCACATTGGGAGGCTGAGGCAGGAGGATCATGAGGTCAGGAGATCAAGACCATTCTGGCTAACACAGTGAAACTCCACCTCTACTAAAAATACAAAAAATTAGCTGAGTGTGGTGGCATGCAACTGTAGTCCCAGCTATTCAGGAGGCTGAGGCAGGAGAATAGCTTGAACCCAGGAGGTAGAGGTTGCAGTGAGCCGAGATCGTACCACTGCACTTCAGCGTGGGTGACACAGCAAGACTCTGTCTCAGGAAAAATAAAATAAAATAAAAATGGCACTTTGGAAAATGTTTTGAGCAAAAGCAATCACTAAAGTTAGATTCAGATCACTATCTATTTGCATATTTATTATTAATCATTGCATAATTTTCTCTCAATGAGACTGAGCCCAAATTGTACAGGAGCATTATTTTACTGTCTGTATTCTTAGTGCCTTTATATAATCTAGCACAAAAGAGACATTTAATAAATGTTTGTCAAGGAGGTGGTATTCATTTGGATAAGTATATGTTCTGAAACATAATGAATGATGCAGGGTTACAGACTATGCTAATGCTATTCACGCTTCTTCAAAGAAGGTACTTTTCAAAGTCTCTCAGCTCTACAAAATAGGGTTTTATTCGAGTTTAAAATGTATACTTTCTAAAATCAAAGGAATACAATTTAAAAGCAAAATGATATATTCCTTTGATATTAGAATATCATGGATGCAAGCAGAGAAATAAGTGCTCTCATACAATTCCTGTGATAGGGAAAACTGGGGTAGTTTGGAAATACATATCAAAAATCTTTAAATATGTTTACTCTGATGCAGAAATTTTGCTTCTAGTTCTTCATTCTACGGAAAAGTAACGACCTTCAAATATGTATAGAGGGTTATTAAACTCAGTGCTGTTTACAATAGATAAAAATGTCTAATGCTAGGAAATAAGTGAATTTTCTAATTCAATAGAATAATATGCAGCCAAAAAAAACCATGGTATTCAAATGTATTGGCATAGAAAGGGATTCAGAAGACATACTGTAAAGAGCAGGAAACAGAACTTTTTACAGAAGTAAAATACAGAAGTTTTGTAAACTACAGAATATCATTCAAAAACATTTTATGCAGTAATAGTCACATAATAAAAGTAATCATTTAAAAGTGAACAGTTCAGTGACTAGTACATTCACATTATTGGACTACTGCCACCTCTGTCTAGTTCCAAAACTAGATTCATCATTCCATAAGGATATTTGCACCCATTAAGCAGTTGCTTCCCATTACCTCCTCCACCAGCCCCTGATAATCACCAATCTGTGTTCTGCTCTATGGATCTACCCATTCTGGTATTTTATGTGCACGGAATCATATAATATATGACCTTTTGTCGTTGGCTTCTTTCATTTAATGCTTTGGAGGTTTGTCCACCTTCTAAGTGTCCTTAATTCTTTTTTATGGCTAAAAATATTTCATTGCATATATTTATAGCACAGTTTGCTTATCTGTTCATCAATAAAATGGACATTTGGGTTGTTTCCACCCTTTGGTTATCAGGAATAGTGATGGTATAAACATGGGTGTACTGCAGAATATCATTTTAATGATACAAGTATTAGCAGAGAAAACATTTAGGAACATTAGCAGCCATTATTTTGGGGTGGATGGATTACAGGTGAATTATTTTATGTTATTCAGAACATTGGACTTTGGAATTGATCAGACCAGATCCCATTTCCTCACTTGTAAAGTAAGGAAAACAAAACCTACGTAACTGAATTATCATGAAGAGTAAATAAATACGTATATCTAAAGCATTTAGAAATGGGTGGTTGGGGGAAACACATGGTAAGAACTGAACTTGTAGTATATATATTTTAAATCTTTAAAAAAAAATCTTTTTTTAAATTAGTGTTAAAGTTTTTTTGTTTTTGTTTTTTGCTAGTGTACTTGTATGCCATACAATTAAGATGCATGATCCCCTTCGCTGATGGTCATTTGAGCTGGTACCAAAGGCTGTTCCATTTTTTGATCTGATGACATCCGTTTGACTTAGTTCTACACTGTAACACTCCCATCCAAGTTTCAACTAAAATAATGTTTCTAACAGCGTATTCTCCAGCCCCTCTGCTACAGCTGCTTTTCCATTCTAGTCTTGCAGCATAACTTTCTATGTTGCAGACGCAACTACCCAGGTTTTACATTTTAGGAATTGCATGACAGGGACAGAGGGACGGGTGAAGGGCACAGGTTTTCTCATACACAGCTAGAAAAACACATTACGAGCAGGTTTCACCAAATACATAAAATTTCCCCTACAATGTCCATCTTTTTACTCCCCAGAAAATTTCATTGTAAACTCAAAGTTTGCCAAATATGCTCATCTTGAGCGCAGCAGAAGGGTTACGGTCGGGAGCCTGCCCGGCTGCGGGGAGGCACCCTCCTGCCTCCCCTCCAGCCCCACCCCGGGTGTGGGAAGCCCGAGTTCGCGCCCGCAGTTCCCGAGCCGCCCCAGAGCGGGAGTTTCGAGGGGAGCAGGGGGAGAGCTGCGGCGTCACGTGGGGAGCCGCGCGGGGACAAGCGCCTGGGGCTGAGTCCCCCGGCGAAGCCACCGCGAAGGGGCCGCATCCCCCAGAGCCTGACCCTGGGCGTTCGCGAAGGCCTCGCAGAGAGGGGGAGCTCGCCCGCCGGTCCGCGCCTGCACAGGTGTTCGGGTGGCGGCGCCCGGCCCCGCCTGCGGACCCGCAAGAGGCGGGCGGAGGCGCGCCTGTGCGCCGGGGCCGGGGGCCCGCGGGGGAGGTTCCCGCGAGGTGGTTCTTGGGCTCCTCCTCGGCGCCTCAGGTTTCCTCTCTCCGCCTGCCGGCTGCTGGCTGCGGCGCCGCCTCTCCCTCCTCCTTCCTCCCTCCTCCCGCCACTCCCCTTCCCCGCGGCTGGGCCCACTTTGCGGCCTCTACCCGCCTCGCCCCCGCCCGGGCCTCCTCCTGCTTTCTCTCTCCGCTTCCCCTCGAGCCTCTGAGAAGTCCGCAGCCCCGGGACGCCCGGGAAGATGGCGGCGGCGGCGGGAGACAGCGGCGGCGAGGGGGGTGCGAGCCTGGGCGGCGCGGCGGGGCCGGGGCCGGGGCCGGGACTGCGTGGGCCGGGCCCCTCAGCTGAGGCGCACGAGGGCGCCCTGGACCCCGCGCCCGCCTCGCTGCACCCTGAGGAGGTGGCCGCGCGGCTGCAGCGGATGCGGCGGGAGCTGAGCAACCGCAGGAAAATCCTGGTGAAAAACCTGCCCCAGGACAGCAACTGCCAGGTACGGGGTCGGGGCTGGGGGGCGACGCGTCCCGGGGGGCGGCTGGGTGGCGCTCCGTGTCCAGGCTGGGATCCGGCGCCTCAGAGTGGTCATAGGGAGGGGGTCGGCGCCGAGTGCTGAGAGCGGCCCCTCGCTTTGACTGAGCTCTTGGGGTTTCTAGCCTGCAGACGCCCTGCCAGGGAGGGGGCAGATTGGGAAACTGAGGCTCTGAGAGGCGAAGCGGCTTCTCCAAGGTCAGGGGGATCGGGGCGGCTGCCTCCAAGTTCCGCCCGCTCTTTTCTTCCCCTACGGCCCTTAGGGGAGTAGGAGGTGAAGGAGAGTGGAGGTGAGTTGTGGAGCACACCTTTGGGGGTGCCGAGGCTAAGGGAGCACCTTGACAGGGGTGGGGGGTTCCGCATAGAGTCCCCGGGTCTCGGGGGTGCCACAGGGGGCAGGGGCACGGGAGAGCTGGGAGTGAGTTTCGCTGTTGCAGAAGCTCTTGACCAAGTTTCTATGAAACAACTCTCTCTCCAGTTTGCTAAGGCCCCAGAATAGAGTATTGCTGCGCTCCTGGGAGCCTTGCAGCCGCCTACTTGGCTACGCCAAGTACAGTACTGGAGGATTTGTTCCTCAGTGACTTGGATGAGGTTTAAAGATAGCGACTCTGTGTCTTTAATCCAGATTAACTGTTGCTTTTAAGATTGGAAACTCTGCATCTATTTAACTCCCCTCCCACCCCCCGATTTCAAAAGCTGCATTCTCATTGTAGGAAAGCTAGAAAAAGAACGAAGCACAGAAGGGAAAAACAAATCACCCATCTTTAAGATAACCATTGTTATCCTGGGATGTTGTCCTTTTCTCTTTTCCTATGCATATATGTTTTTGTTTTATTAAAAACATGAAATCATTTATTTGACTCTTCAGGATGTGTCTAGATGTTCACACCTGTTTCACATATAACCTGAATTTATATACTGCTCTGAGTGTGGTGGAGTATCCTGGTAGTTGCGGATTTGGGCTGACCCGTGTAGTTCCTCCTGTAACCGGATGCATGAAATTGCAAGAGGGCTGGCTATTGACCATTGCATGGCAGTTCTTCCATGTGACTTATAAAATAATGAGACCAATGCCCCATTACTATGTAATTAGACCTTACATAGCCATTCGCAGTAAATATGAACATACTTATAACCCATATGCATGAGGGGCTATTTTGTTTAAAAATGCAATGTAAAAAAAATTCTCTGTCAGCATTGTGTATCTCATCTGTCTTTCAACTCTTTCCATTCCACCATGGTCCACTTCCCATCTGTCAGGTTATGTTTTGTGATACTACCTGTTAAGGACACCTGCAATGGACTGATTTCTTGGAAGCAGCCTCCCCTGCCCATACAAATAGAGGACTGCAAGGGAGCTCAAGAAGGAGGAGGCTTGGAAGAAGCAGATGGCATTTTTTAAAAAAACAAATTTAAAAAATAGCAGCTCTTTGTATAGACAGTCTAGGAGAAGAAAAATGGAGAAGTGTCTCAATTTCTTTGTAGAACGTCAACTGTTTTTGTTATCACAATTCCTTGCATTAATTCTAAAAATATTTAGACCCAAAATTCAAGATGTTCTGTCTATTCTTGCTTTGCTATTGGTATGTTTCTCACTTCCCTTCTTAATAGATGAAAAATATATCAAAGGGTCTAATAAAAGGAACAGTTTTAATTAGTGATAGAAGCTTTCTGAGAATTACACCAGCATTTGTATTTTTGAGATTTCATCTACTTTTTCTTAAACTGTAATATTTTCATGAATATGTTCTGCATTTTTTTTGTGTGTTAACAATTTCCCTTCATTGTAATGTCTGCTTTTTCTTAGTGATTATATTTTACTGTCAACTTACTAATGAAAGTTTATTTTGTGTCTTTTTGACACTAAGGCCTACATGAAATCACCTGGGCTAAAACTACATATTTACCCTTATGAAATGGTTAATATGATTTTTGTTCAATTATTAAGTAAGCAGATATTTTTGAAATACTAAGTTCTTGTTCTTTTCCAGAAGAGTCTGTGTTTATTCATTTCTTTCCTTTTTTTTTTTTTTTTTTTCCTGAGATGGAGTCTTGCTTGGTTGCCCAGGTGGAGTGCATGTCGGCTCAACGGCAACCTCTGCCTACCAGGTTCAAGTGATTCTCCCTGCCTCCTGAGTAGCTGGGATTATAGGCACCTGCCACCATACCTGGCTAATTTTTGTATTTTGTAGTAGAGATGGCATTTTGCCATGTTGGCCAGGCTGGTCTTGAACTTCTGACCTTAGGTGACCCCTCTCTTCCTCGGCCTCCCAAAGTGCTGGGATTACAGGTGTGAGCCACTGCGCCTGGCTTCATTTCTTTATTTTAGAATGTTACTTTAAGGATCAAAGGCATAGAACTCTAGTTCTCAAACTGTGTATTTGTGTCTCTAGAAAATACTGATTGATACTAGTAGGAACCTGTAATTTTTTCTTGACATTTGAAATACATGGGTGTTTTCCATATTAAATGTAGTTTTCATAAATCTCAAATTTTATTTTTGGTACAGCAGATTTATAATAGCATTCCACAACTTTACAGTTTTTATAATTAAAAGGCACACTGAAAGCATTATTTTTAACTGGAAGCTTTTAGAGGTATGTTTATCAAATACCTTATAGAAGTATTGGCTCTAGAAAAAATGAACACCTTTATATTAAGTTCTCAAAAGCTTTCTTACTGAATAATTACTGTGCATTCAGTCAAGCCCTGTCTGGTCTACCTAAGCTTTCTTGAATCTTCCTGGCCATCCTTGTTTTCACAGCCTCAGCTCTCGTTCAAGTCATTTTCATCTCTTGTTCACTGTTACAACTTTTCGGTTTGTAACCTCCCTTCATTACTGTCCTGTTTCTTACATTTTAGCTCCTTTTGCATACTACTTCCCTTGAGGAATACTCCCGAAGCACAAATCTGATCATGTCACTCTCATGCTCATAAAAAACCAGCCTTTGGCTGCACATTCCTCTTAAACTTTTCCTCAAATTGTCCTTAACAGTAAAGAACAGTGAATTTGAATTAAACTACTGCAAGACTGAAATTGCTTTAAAGTTTTGTGGTCTGTCTGAAATTTTTTTTTCAGATTAAATATTATAGGTTTATTTAAAACTTAATTCTGACCTAGAGTATGCAAAATACAAACTCCACAAAATGTTCATTTTACTTTGTAGCTTACAAATATACAAAATAGACGTTTGCTTAAATTTATATTACATATTTATTAAGGCAAGGAACTATAGAAAAAAAACATTTGTTCTGCTTCAGGCATACTTGGGAATAAACCATTGTACAAATTAATTCACATCTGAAACCACAGTGCATAACAGACTGTCTGCATAAAAATGCTAAAGAAGTAAACCAGGTGCATTACCTGACTTAGGTCATAAATGTAGATCAGAAGACAAATATAGATTTTCCTTGTCAAAGTATGCAGCAGTTTGAAATCTTTGGCTTCCTTGTTTGATGCCTTTAGAACCAAGACTCACCAAACACCATCATTTAGGCTACTTAAACATGTTTTCTGTACCTGAATTTCTTCCTCTTCTTCTAACATCATAATAATGACTTTTAGAAGTTAAAGAGGGAGGAAGGCAGCAAAACACACTGCCATGTGTGTACCTATGCAAATGCCTTGCATGTTCTGCACATGTACCCCAAAACCTAAAATGCAATAAAAAAAAAGTTAGAGAATACAAGACGATCTTGGAAATTTTTATATTAATTTTATGTTCTATTAGTAACATTGGATTTAACATAAAAATAGCTATTTAACTCCCAGTTGTTTTTTTTTTTTCCATAAACTTGACACTTACGGAATCTATTTAACCTTTGGTTCTCCAGAGAGTAATCAGATCTCAGTTTGAAAAGCCTGAAATGATAGGACAGCAGTCTAAGATTCTTAGGCTTTTTGCCACTTGGCCCCTGCCTACATTTCCAGTCTCGTTTCTTTTTAGTTTTTATTTATTTTAGTTTTTATTTATTTTTTTGAGATGGACTTGCTCTGTCACGTAGGCTGGAGTGCAGTGGCACAGCTGACTACACCCTCGATCTCTCAGGCTGAAGCAATTCTCCCACCTCAGTCCCTCAAGTAGCTGGGACGACAGGCATGTTCCACTATGCCTGGCTAATTTTTAAAAAATTTTTTTGTAGAGACGTGGTATCGCTCTGTTGTCTAGGCTGGTCTTAAACTCCTGGACTCAAGAAGTCCTCCTGTCTTGGCCTCCCAAAGTGCTGGGACCAGAGGTGTGAGCCACTGCACCCAGCCATCAGTCTCATTTCTGATTAGTCCTACATTGGATTCTATTCCACCTTTATCAAATGACCTAGATCCCCAAGTACCTGTTGTCACTGTGATTTGAATATTTATAGTTATGTCTTTGTTAGTATTTTGGAATGTATTTATAGTGAGTAATTTATAGTGAATAATATTTATAATTATAATTATTTTTAATGAATAATTTATAGTGAATAGTAATATTGTGAATACTGGTTCTTATTCATAGCCCTTGTATATGTGTGTGTCTGGTCTTTTGCAACTGAATTTAGAATTTTGATTTGTTACAGTAATGTTTTCATATTTTTTCTAATATATGTGTTATCATATTTCTATAAATCATATTATAGTTAACCTGGTTCTGTTTCAGTATCATTGTCATTGGTGTTTCAAATGGAGAAAATGGGGGCATTTGCTGCTTATATTATTTGTGTTCACTCAGGTTTTTTTTTTTTAATATGTCTGATGTGTGTGCATGTGTTTTGTTTTCGTCATATTGTTTACCCTAAAATCTGGAAGATATTCTATTGTGTAATTAGAAGAAAATGTGAAGTGCTTAGGGCCAACATTCAGAATTAGTAATTGAAGAAACAGAACATTCTATTGTCTCACTTTGGAGATTATAAACTTTCATTTCAAAGTACTCTAAATTGATAGTTAATTCAGAAGTTTGATGGTTAATTCACAGAGACTCA